GCGAGTGATTGTGTTTCCACTGAGGTTCGAACTCAGTGCGCATAGTTTCAAAAGCCAAAGCGTTATCCACTAGACCACTTGGGTCACGAGAGCCACCTCTTGTTTATCAGCCACTGGTATAATTTGAACTAGTACTTTACGATCTATGTCAAATTTCTCGACTACTCAACTATTTCCAAAAAATGAATTTCATTGAAGATGAAATCCACTGACACTGAATTAATCACTTTCTAATGCTTTAAAATACTTTCCTGATCATTTTTGTGAATACATTCACTTTTAAGAATACCGGTACTTTTTCTTCCATATTTTAGCGGATATTTAATTATGGTATGCCTGATGAAGTTAAAGTGAAAACAGGAATAAGACAAGCTGGCTGCCTATTATCATCGACGATGCTCCTAATTACTTTGGGATAGATTATGATTCAGACTGTGTGGCGTGAGAAGACAAGAATACGTTAGACGACCAATCGAAAGAATCTAGGAGATCTAGATTTCGTGGATGATTTATGTCTGATGTCACACAAACCCGAAGACTTACAGGCAGAAGAAGTTGGCAGCGAATACAGGAATTCAAGCGAACATAGGGAAAACAGAGATGATGAAGATAACCAACTATCCAACAACAACCAGCCAGCAATTACCATTAACGAAAGAAATTCGAAAGAAGTTACCTCCTTCACTTATCCGGCTAGGAAGCATTGTTTCAACCATAGGCACTGGTAAAGATGGCAAAGACGGAATCGAAAAATTGAGATCACCTCCATCAATCTGAAATTGGCTTGGAAATTTTCTGTACTCCGCGGCATAATGAACAATATTCGAATTTCCAACGCAAATGTAAAATTGGTCAGTTCTTCTATATGAGTGAGAAATTTGGAGCATCACGAGTAGCATTTCCAGAATATTGCAGACTTTTATCAACAACTGCCTCTCTGACTCTATATTGGAGAAAGAATGGCCGGCCAGAAAGAACTGGCAACATGAGTCTATATGGACAAATTAAACAAGGACCTATCACTCAACAAATATGTAGGAGGAAATGGGGTTTGTTTGAACATACACTGTGGAGACCGTTGAATGACATTGCACACCAGGCCATGGCTGGAGGGAAATGCGAATGGGAACGACCATTTAAGAGTTGGTCTGAGGGTGACATGGAGGAAATGACAGATAATAGGCAATCATAGGTCCAGCTGAAGAGGACAGAAGAGAATAAAATAAATTAGAGATGTGTTGCTGAAGTCCTATTATCCTTTTGGAACCCAAGGGAACAAGAATAATGAATAATAATGTCTGATGAGGACGTTTTACGGTACTAAACGGTTAGTTAAAAACATACAACATGGACTGTAATAAAGTTTCACTCACTCACTCTTTCGGAAATTTGAGTAACCTATGACTACTTCAACATTTTAACCTATTGCCTGAGTACCGATGTGTGTCTTTTCATCCTACATGACACTTTTTACAAGCTTAATAATATTTTCAGTGTTACGAACAATTTAAGCATAAAATCGCAGTATTTAATGGATTCACCAAGTTTTAATGGAACTCCTCAGCTGAATACTTCCGTGCATAGAAGGAAATGTTAATCATTTTGAATTTACCATAATATTATCTTTTACTTATTAACTGTTGTTATTGTTATTGCTTTCACTGAAGCTAACCTTCTAACTCCTTCCATATGCAAATATAAACTGTAAAACATTTTCAAATTTAGTTTGTTTAGACTGATTCATTTTTGTTTATGTATTTTTCATTGTACACCTAAGATTACATATAAAGCGTTTGGCTGAGGAGTCCTACTGAATTATAATGAAACCGCTAAATTCTGCTCTATTACCGTTTGTTGCTTGTTTTAAAATTTATATTAAGGAGATAAATGTGTTCCCGATAACCGAAGTAATGTAACAATTGTAAGCACTGTTCCTTATCCACCTTTGTCCAAAAATGTCCAAAATGTCACTGTAACAATTTGAAATATTATTTAGTCACAAATTCAAATTAGTCACGAAATCATCAAAGTAACGAACAGTCATTTACTCCTAGTTCCGACTAGTGACAAGACATCTGAACTGTAACGAGTAAAGATGCGAGGAGACCGTATCATGACATAGATGAAACTCCTCTTTTTCTTCTATAACCAAATTCACTTCTTTTATGAAACCACGCATTTTCAATAACAACAGAAAAATATCGTTGTTCATTGTTTCTGTTTTCTGAAAAGAAAATTTTTGATATACTTTAAATCTGTAGTTTAAACGTAAAGAAATTACTGGAAACATAACTAACCATCTGTTCCTGTTACCTCACCTTATATTATGTATTACTCTGATTTCAACAGCATTAAATCAACTCATATAGTTAGGGATGAATAATAACACTGTGAAACAGTAACCATTAATATGTTATCTGATGATATTAGAGTAATTATCTGCTATACAGATGACAGCCTCTGGTAGTGATTCCATTTTTCAAATCAATATGAATTAGGGAGCACATTTACTTTCTAAAATATGAAGTAGATCGTATTAACACTACAAGTATTTTTCACCAGAAAAATATTTAAAATGAGGACATAAATCTTGACAAGTGTAAGTAACCTGATTAAAGAAGTAAAGACGAACAAGAAAAGTAATATTTTCTGAATTTACATTCTTGTTGATAATAGAATGAATATGTTCTTAGGTTTGATAAGTACTTTCCATACATAAATTAACCGATTAATATGAGCAAAACTGTTATGATACTCACCAATGCGACCATAACACATTGAAAATATCGTTTCTTGACCGATCACCGAAGTTAATCATCTTTGGGTCCTGTTAGTAATAAGTGACTAGCGGCGGATAACGTCTGCTGCTGTCTTTTTACCCCTAACAGTTCAACGGGAAAGTCACTGACTGAAACACTGGATGACCTCGATCCGAATCCCTGTAGGAACACGAGTTCCTAAAACGTTGTAGATATCACCTAATGGCGAGTGCCAGTGTGTAATCTTATAGCGTGAAAGAGAAGATAATATCTCTTTAATAAATTCAAATATAAATCTCAGGAAGTACATAATTTTCGCCTTTTCTTAATTCTTTGTTTCACTTTACTGGTCCTAACTTCATTCTCAGATAAAGGTGATAAGTGTGTACAGGTAATCTCGGATGCTTATTTGGTTAGGGGTTCAGTGTTTTTAGAAATTCACACTTTTATATTTATATCTGTACAACTTATTTTGTAGTAACAAAGAATTTTATTATTGTTAAATCACAGGACAACTGTTAATGTTTTCACCGTATGAATGCATTGAATGCTTGTCCGTAATTAGTTCAGAATAAATTTAGATTTATATATCGATGATTTGAAATAGTGACATATATATAAATATCACTTCACAGAACAATAATTAATTCTAATTGCCCAAAAACATTTACATAACAAATAATACATTGTCATAAAAAAGTAATATTAAGCAATACACTATATGCTGATCTCTTATACATGTTAAACTTTTAGCTTGGAATAAAACAGATTATCTAAGAACCAGTAGAAGCATTGAAGTGACAGTGAAATGATTTGCTCAACCTCAAATGAGCGAAATGGTTTTCCGGTGTTTAGATCACTTTTATCTGGCTGGCTACCAAGCCCTACTGGTTGACGTAAGTGGCTTCTAACTACTTATATCAGTCAGTCAGTCAGTAGTATATTGAAGCACACAATTTAGCCTTTTTTTAATCTTCTTAGAGGCATTTCACAATTTGTCTTGCAGACTACTTTCATTTATTCCATGAAACTGTCCGTATTGATTAGATGCCTTATTCTGCGTCTCTTCTGTCCATAAGAATAAAAGATGCTATGAAAAACATTATTGAAGTCGATTTTGAGATAGATGTACACATGTCTATAGGACTTGGTGGAGGCGTATCCTAAGGTATGAAGAAAGTATAGTCATTAGAAAGTTTAGTCCATTTTCCTTTCCTCGTAGACAATTTGTCACTACCATAAACCTTTTTTGATAAGTTCTGTTTTGAAGATTAAATTTATGTACTATTGTCAACTTCTTATTTGCCTTATTGATGTTTACTGTTATTTTGACTTTTTGATAGAGGCTTTCAATTTAATTTATGTTCATTCTGTTTTCCGTTAACTCTTTAATATCCTTTCTTAATTATTTCTAAGTAAAGTACATGCATGATGAGAATGTTTGAAATATGTAGCGTAAATACTCAAGTTTGATCGGGGATTGATATCAGTTAGAGGACTATTAAAACTAGGGACCACAATAAAGATTTTTCGTTCTAGTTTGAGAATCGTCAGTGACACGCACACATGACCATACCAGAAATCGGGTCTAGGACCTTCAGTTTACGAGCTGACTTCGTAGACCATTCAACTACTGAGAGAGAATTCAATGGCTCATGAATCCTAACTTCCGTCAATTCATGGCTTTTAGAGCCATCGTCTTGATTGGTAGGGTCTATCGGTTTTGGTTCAAAGATGAGTACTTGTCGATGACATCATCTAACGACAGCGCCGAAAATCGTAAATTGGAAGACGTTAGAATTCATGGACCAAGTGGCTAAAAGCTCAGTGAGCTTGCATTATAACCTAAAGGTCCTCGGCTAGACCCCTGGTTAGGTATTAGGTATGAACGGCTGAAAATTCCGAAACCAGTGCTTCGTGATTTACACTGGCATTTCATCTGATATCGGTTGAGTGGAAACTGTCTGGGAAACGACGACTTGGACATAGGTTTGAGTGTGACATAGAATAGATCGCATAAAGAGGAGATAAGAGCTTATGATCAGTAGTGGAGCCGACTAAAGAGAACTGCGAAGAACATGATGAAATGGAAATTTGCTGATGAAGCCTTAGGTTCCCCTCAGAATCCAAAAGGATAATAATAAATATTATAATTTTCATGCTTTACTGACGTTTAAATTACTCAACAAACATTTATGAAATGAGGTATCATTTTCATCTTTTTCATAATTTCTTTTCTAGGTGAACCATTCGCTTGTGATTTTACAATGACACCAATTAGAAATGAAAAATCTCAGGTCGTTTTGTTTCTATGCTGTTATCAAGAGATTTGTGGAAATTTATTACCACCTCCAATACATCAGTCTTTGTCTTGTTTCAAAGTGAATCATTCAAAGCTATACTCTGTGCTGTCATGGGCATCTGAATTACCATTCTCTCGGAGTTATTTACAAATGAAAGCGGAGAACTATGGTTAGTTTAAAATTCCAACGTGTTTCTGTGTAATAATCTAAAAGAGCCGTTACTGTTGAATGTTAGCAGGTGTTTTCATGTCTTTTTAAAACTTGGACCATTACAAGCATTAGAAGATTATCGAACAGATTAAGTAGTTGAAAAAAGTAAACCATGTGACTACAAAGTTCAAAATCCAAGTCAATAGAAAAGGATCAGTGCATACGTAAAGATGATTACCGGGAGACGCAATTCTATCACTCATGAAAAATTGAAATCAGTTCACTTTAAGCTAAAAATTGAGCTGAAGGGAGATGTTGTCCAGAAGGACAACGAAAGCTCCGCAACTAAACCAACGAGCTAAGAGAAAACTACTAATTGCAAATCATCCACCTGAGCTAAATATCTTTTCTGTTATAACTATTACTTACAAAAGTAATGTTACATATTCCCTAACAATTCAGTGCATTAGCTTGGAAAACACAATGACAACATGTGCAATTACACACATATAAAAAGCTGTCTGATGTGGGATTTGATCTAATAGGCGTATTTAAGGCTGGTTGAAATTGCTAAGTATTGTGTTGGTTGGCGGTTATGAATAAGACCAGCTGTGAAACTAACAAGGTGAGAAATCTTAAAAATGCCCAGCCATAGAGCTACATGCAGTTATACACAACCATAAGATTAGAATGGGATTAAATGACAGTCTTAATATCTAATAATGAATGAATGGAAGGAGAGATTGATAAAGGGGACTCTATTTTAAAAAATCACCTGTAAATACGTGCACTAGGGATGAATTAACTCCTGTTCTAGACATCTAAAAATTTTCAGTACGCGCAACGACGAACAGGAAGGAATAAAGAGAAATACAAAACACAAGTTTCGAAGTTGGGTAGTTATGACTGGTAAGATTATGAAAAAATTTGTAGTGAATTAAATAAAAAGTGCCCAAGTTTCACACATTTATTAACAGCGATACATTCAACAAAAATTGAATAAAAACAAGCGACGTAATGATGCAGAACACAGTAAAGGAAGCTTGAATTTAAACCCCGCGCCTTTATATGTTCCGTTGAAGGCATCTACCTGATATTTATTTTTACAATAATTTTGTTTTCCGTCAAAAAGGGTTAATTATTATTATATTATTATTGTTCCCTTTAATTCCTAGAGGAACATAGGGATTCAGCCGCCCGTCTCCATTGCGTTCGGTTCTCTGCTACAGTCTCCACCTGGCTCCTCGTCTGCCCACACATGCTTTCATCTCCTCTTCACATGACCTCCTCCAAGTCACCCTTGCACTGACGACCAACTCGCCGCTTCCCTTTCGGGTTCCACTCGAGCAATGGCTTGTCTAGTGATGTCACTTGGTGGTTTCCTCAGAGTATGGCCAATCCATCTCCATTTCTTCCTGCCTATTTCTTTCACAAACAGTTCCTGGTTGGTTCGCTCCCAGAGATCTCTGTTACTGATCTTTTCTGGCCATCTGATCTTGAGTGTTTAGTGAAGGTAGCCGTTAATGAAGGTCTGTAGTTTGTTTTATGTGCTCTTTATGACGCGCAGTGCAAGTCTCTGACCCGTATAGTAGAACTGACTTCACATTGGAGTTGAAAATCCGGATCTTATTTTTGATGCTGAGTAGTGCTGTTGACCTCCACACAGACTTGAGAGTAGTGAAAGCTTGTCTTGCTTTTCCGATTCTTGCTTCGATATCCTCGTCACTTCCACCTGTAGTTGAAACGATGCTTCCCAGGTAGGTAAAAGATGTTGTTTCTTTCAGGTTCTTTCCATTTATGCTGATTGCTGTCTGTTGTTGTTGCTGTTGGTGTTGGCCAGGAATCTTCATCACCTCTGTTTTATCTATGTTCACTTGAAGTCCTATCTTCTCTGGATGCTTCTTCTGCCGACTTGTTGCTTTTCACTTTCATATCTTCCAGTTTGTGGGAAATTAGACATATATCATCAGCGAAGTCCAGATCCTCCAATGGTTGATTATAATGCAATTAAATGCTCGGTGTCTGTTAATATATTGACTCCTTGTATAAACGCTTCAATGATATCAAAGGATTAACACGGAGTTATTTTTCTAGTGTTGACTAGCAGTAGAATCTCAGATGAGCTGAATGTACCTGCATTCTCAGTGAGTGATGGTGTCCCCATTGATACTAGAATCATATACCCACTGTTTCAAACGCCAAAGGAGTGTCTGCTATCCATTAGGCTATACAGGGCATGAGAGCCACTTCTTTTGACAGCTTATATTTTAGAAAATTCATCCAATTCTTCCCACTGAGAAACCTGTATACAGCAAGAACAACAATATATAAATTACAAAAAGGTTTAGGCACACATCTATCATGCCTACAACGAATTATTGACAGAATGTGTAAGTGACATAATAATGTAAGTAGTTAAATTATTAAGTAGTAAAAGCATTGACTATCTATCGAGTAATTCGATGAATTGTTTGCTCCCATCCTTCAAGATAATGTGTCTAACTATATATATATATTTATATATATGCTGTGAATAATTCACTGTCAGTGTGATAAAAGTGTGCTCAAATCATTTTGTAATTGAAAAGAATTCGCAAAATAAAAAAAATGAGCCCATATTATCCTGGTACATTCTTTGTTCTTTCTTTGTCCATAGTGTCGTTTTAACAGCTGAAGAATTTAGAATTTTGCCATATTTGAGTGAAAGTACTTATTACAGTCTCACCATTTCATTTACTCACAGTGACGTCTGAATAATTCCGCCCTTCGCAGTGTTTACTCAAGACAGGCCTTTCGAAATGTTTTAGTGAGTACTTCACTTGTTCCCCTTACATTCAGATGCCGTAAATTGATCTAATTTAGTATTTATCTAAGGTTGTCTAAGGCCACTTAGTACGGTTTGATGGAACATTCAGTATTTTCTGTCTTGACATGATGATTTGTAGCCTAGTGGGACAGCATGGTTTGCTAGTTGACACTTTCAAAGTATTTGATTATGTGTAGCAGTACGAGAAATAAAAATGGCAAATTACTACAACTAATACTTCCTCATTATACTGCGTCGGAGTGACTTTCTTCCGAATTCATAATAATAATAATGCATAATTCTTTTTCCGCTACTACGGGGTGCCACCGACAATTATACATCTCATCCAACAGCCGATGATATATGTCTAATTTCCCAAAAACTGGAAGATATGCAAGTGAAAAGCAACAAGTTGGCAGAAGAAGCATCAAAGACTTTCTTCAAGTGAACACTTAGAAGACAGAGGTGATGAAGATTCCTGAACAACACCAACAACAACAACAACAGAAAACAATCAGCATAAATTGGAGGAACCTGAAAGAAACAACCTCTTTTACCTGCCTGGGAAGCATCGTTTCAACTACAGGCGGAACTGACAAGGATCGGGAAAGCAAGGTAAGCTTTCATTACTCTCGAGTCTGTGTGGAGGTCAACAGCATCCAGCGTCAAAAATAAGATCCGGATTTTCAACTCCTATGTGAAATCAGAGCTACTCACTATACGGATCAGAGACTTGGCGCATCATAAAGAGCACCTCAAACAAACTACAGACTTTCATCAATAGCTCTCTCTGCTCAATACCACTCAAGATCAGATGGCCAGAAAAGATCAGCAACAGGGTGTGATCTCTGGGAGCGAACCAACCAGGGCCCGACTGTGCAACAAATAGGCAGGAAGAAATGGAGATGGATTGGCTGGCCATACTCTGAGGAAACCATCAAGTGATATCACTAGACCCTCGAGTGGAACCCGAAAGGGAAGCGGTGAGTTGGTCGTCCAAGAGTAACTTTGAGGAGGTCATGTGAAGAGGAGATGAAAGCACGTGGGCAGATTTGGAGCCAGGTGAAGACTGTAGCAGAGAACCGAACGCAATGGAGACACGCGGCTGAAGCCCTGTGTTCCTCTAGGAACTAAAGGAAATAATAATAATAAATAATAATTCTTTTTACAGCTTTCCAGTTAATGTCAAAAATCACATTTGCAATTTGAAAATTAATTCACAATTTACACAGTTCGAGATGAAATTTCACCAAACTTTCCTTTGGAAGCTGAAATTATCCAGATCTCACTATGTCACTCACTTGATGCCACTAGTGGTGATCAGTAAAGCAAGCGGAAACTGCATAAAATTATGCTCTGCTGATCCATTGAGATAACTGGTTGTAAATTACTTGCATCAACTAGTAGTGCTCGGTAGCCAGATTGAAGTGTTCGTTTAGAGCCCAGCTCATCAGTGAAATAGCCGTTCGATGTTTACATCACTTTAATCTGGCTAGTAAGCACTACTAGTTGGTGCAATTCCTTTGCGTCCAGATTGGAACATAGTGCTTCAAGCATGATTTTTGGAGTTTTAGTAGTGGCGGTGTATTTTTAAAGGGTGAGTTAGCTAATCTCACCTACTGACCGCTAAGCGAAGTAAAAGAATACATCTGTTGAGAACCAAACCGTGGGCTGAATCAGTGGTTGGCGATGTGAGAGGTATACAACCACTCATTTCGATCTGCCAGTATTCTACAGTGTTACCGTCTAGTATCTCACTATAACCTGCTTTCTGTAACAACAAAAAAACAAACAGAAGTCTTAGGGTATCATTTAGTGAATTTTGGTCGATTCAAACTCGCTAAGTACCATAAAAAGCAAAAGTGTCATTATGAAACAGAAATAGACCGTCTCTATTACACAAATATCAACCCATTCTCTTAACAAAAACCTTTTAAATTTCTAATTTATTTACTATAAAGTTAACAGTGCTATAAATTTATTCACAAACATTTCTTTCAGCTGGAAACGTAGACAACGATGGAAATTCATCCAAACGTCCTGACTCCAAAATCAATCTCATTACTACCCAAACTACTGGTAACAGTAGTAATATTTGTTGTAGTGCAGCAGAAAATCATCAACTTCTCACTTTACCAGCATACACTAATCAACAGAAAACAGACAAGCATTACCTAGATATACCTTCAAATTTTAATCGTAACACATTCAATTCACATTATAACAGTCATGAACTTATAAGACAATCACAACTCAGTGTAAACAAGAGTTCATTCAATTCACCGGAAGAAATTCAACTAACAGGTAAAGCACATTATCCAATAGAATATTATTTACCATCTAATTGTCAGACAACACAATCGTTAGATATTTTATCAAATCCCATGTGCATAAAATCATCTCAACAAATTTCTATTACACAAAATACATGTATTTATAGAAATGCAAGTATTTTATCTCTACCTCAAATCAAATTACATCTAGGAAAGTTTAGTCAAAAAAAAGCTCAAATAAAAGCCAATAATAAAATTAATGATGAAAAAGTTCATGAAATTTCATCAAATGTTAAATCAACTGAAAGTATTACCTCTTCATCCAATGACAGTTGTAATAAACGCACAACTTCAAAGTATAATCATATTTCGAATGATGCTATAAACGTGACACCAGCAGAAGTAAGTTTCAGTGTATTTATTGTGTTGTATACTTTAAAGCTAAGCACTTAGTTATTCATATTCTATATCATACAATGAAGAAGTTCTTGAGTTGGATTGGTTTATCATAGTCTAGGTGAGTTAAAAGAATCAACAGAGAAGTTTGAAACAAGATAATAACACTCTTCCAAAATGTTTTATTTCCCCTCCCAAATTTAAGTTTCTGTGATGCTGAAATTGGTATTCTAATTACTAAAATTGTTACTATTAACTTGGCAAGTATAGTTGTTGACGAGACAGATGTAAAATGTAACACATCCGGGTAAAGGACCAATGCTCGTGGTTGTGACAGCTTGATTCAACACTGAACAAGCCATGTATATTAACTGTGTATTACTTTATTAAACAAAATGGGACGCAAATACAATTCATTGGAAGTGGTACAATCAAACTCGTTTCAGTCAGGTCATCACAATATATAAATTCAAATAAATATACAATGGAAGATTTCAACTGGATACTCAATCTAAGAGAACGCTTATCTTCTGTTATGTTTACTGTAGCACAATTATAAAAGAGGATGAAGGAAAATGAGAATCCTAAAAGCAAGACGGACTTTCATTACTCCACAATGCAGATTTTAAACACTAATGTTAAGTCAGTAATTCCATATGATTCAGAGGATTAATGCGTGATGAAAGGCGTTTCCAATAGTCTGCTGCAGAATTTCATCAACAGCTATCTTCATCGTCTTGATGGTGAAGGACAGATAACCAGTAAGGATAGGTAACAGGAATCTCTAGCAACAAACCAACCAAAAACCTATCGCCCATTATATATGCCTAAGAAAGTGTGAATGCATTGGAGATATACTGACACGATAGTTAAGTGAAGTCATATATGAGATTATCGAGTGGAAGCCGAACGGGAAACGATGAGTCGAGCATGTGAGGGCAACACTGTTGAGATCGTGGGGTGGGGGAGGAGATGTGTTTTAAAAGCTTTTTCTCCTACTCGGAATCCAAGGGAATAATAATAAATATTAAAGCTGCTGTTTAATCTTTGTTCATCGAATATATGTCAGTAGTCAAAGAATGAGAAATGGAACACTTTTGTATATAAAATGAAGTTTTATACAGGCTCATTTCTATGATGATGAGAAACGCTATCAATAAATATTGTTGTACTTGGTGATGCTGTATTCTCTGAGCTGAATGGATTCATTGGAAAACATTCCTTATGCTGCTGGACAACACTTGCCCTGCTATCTTCATTTCCTTGAGCTAAAAATCTCTATTAATTCATATTATTGTATAACAACTGAGCTTTACTCAAACAATTCATGAAAAAGAAAGTCATGATTTTATTCGATTAAGAAGTAATCCCTAAGGAATTATGATTAAACTGGAAAAGGGCTTAAATATATGTTGAAGAAAATAAGCTAGTTGGACTAAACCTTCTCAGCCATTAAATGTAACATAATACGAAAACTCTATTATGAGAAGAAGAGGAGGGATTTAAGTACTTGGAACAAAAGAAGGATTTTAAAACCTGAGATGCTGCTGTCAACAGTGTATGAGATGTAGATGCTGAAAATAGTGAAGTAACACTGAGTTACTCAAAAAAAGATATGAGTGACAACCTTAAAATCTGGTGATTTTAAAATACATGGCTGGTGAAAATAAATTCTAGAATTCGGAGTGCTTTATTTCAGATGTGTAATTTACTCGAAAATCGTGCGGCATGGGAGACTGAATGACTTGAAAATAAAATGTTTGCAAGTGAAGAATACTCTTATTTTACCTTTAATCTGCATCGACTTTGCTGGATATTCGTGTGAAGTCATTTCTGGAGAAATGATTAGCTACATCAGACGTATTCGGCCTCACAGGACGAACTAGTTTTTGGAAAGAACATGTAACAACCACAACCAACTCGTTTTGCTTTAAACGCAGGTAGCCGATCTTTGCATCCTACTGTTTAGGTGACCTAAACTTCCTCTGAGGCATGTACAGTCACAAAACTCTCGATAGGCGGCGAAAAGACGGTTTTTCTATAGTTAGTTTGCAAGGATTAGTTTTGTTTTTACGAGTTGATCACGGATTGATATCAGTTAGAAAACCATTGAAAACAAAGGAGTACTTGACAGCTGTTTCATCCTTGTTTGGGAATCATCAAGCTTGCCTTGTAACCGGGAGTTCCTGTGTTCGAACCCCAGTGGGTGCTTACTGCCGATGATTCCCAAACTAGGGTGAAACAGCTACCCAGTACTCGCTGGTTTTCAATGGTTCTCTAACTAATATCAATCCCTGATCAACTCGTTGAAAGACGGCTATTTGTTGATAAATTTATTATTCTTTTGAATAAAAATAACATCAAAAACTCAAAAATACCTGCACGGTACCGTTAGGCAGCCATACAGACAAGGTATCTTTCTGGTACAAAATAAGTGCTGTATAACAAGCGAAATTCAACAATAAGAAGTGCTTTAAAAGTCATGAAGAATATTCCCAACCAGAGTGAATCAAAACTCTGTGCAGAAGAATCACACGCCAACAATTGCCACAGATTGTTGAAGGTCAGAATCGCTTTCACTCACCCTAACAAAATTACATCACAAAATAATGAATTATCAACGTATCTCACAACCAGAAAGAGATGCATTAAAATTGGAAATTAAACAGGGACAAAGACAAATAATAACGGTTAAGCCAACAGATACTATGTAAATGAAATACAATGATATACAGTCTGGGAGAGAAACGGATAATGATTACAAAGTTAATTAAAAACATCGAAATAAGTATAGATATTGTAATAAAATCGTTCAGTAAGGATTTTTAAACATTTGTTCCCTTACAGAAAGTGATAACCTATCACAGACTCTCATGACCATAAGAGACGTAATCCACTGTCATAGGAAGCCTGTTATAGGATGTTAGATAAATATTTCTGTACTATCAAAAGTGTAACATATTTCCTTTAAGTTGACTAATAACGAGTATTTTTGAGCTTCGTCCATTCCTTTGCGTTCCAAGTAGAGTATCAAGATTCACGATTGAGCTTTGAAGTTTCAGTAGCAGTGGTGTCAATTTTTCCGGGGCGAGGTTGTTGAACTAATGTCCCACCTTGCCTCTTCAACGAGCTTACTACGGACAAAGCGAAGTTTAGCGGTACGTAAGATGAGGAAATAACCCGGCCACATGCATATTCGTTAAGCATCCTAAAGTTGAACCATGGGTGCACTACTATTTTAATAATAATAATAGTAGCTTTATTCCAAACAGTATTTGTGGTACAGGTATGGAATTTTCAGCGTGCATTACAATATTGCATCTTATTACCTCATTAATTTTTATAAGATTTTAAAAATAAAAAGCAGCAACAACAAAAAGAAAAGAAGAGAAATAAAAGAAATAAAAATAAGAACGGCATTGCATTCACATATTTAAACAATGCACCACAGGATATGAAATATAAAATTAGTCTGTAATAGAATACATGAGCGACAATATAATAGTAACAAAGAAAGGAGAACAAAAGCTAATGGGAACTATTTGTTAGAGCGCCGCAGTAAGTTGATCGTGTCATGCCTAACAGCTTTCTCATCACATAACAGCTGTGCCAGATAAGGTATTGTGGAGTTTTTATACTTGGTAGTCCGGCATATAGCCTCCCATAGTTGCTACTAGTTCTACCAGATGAAATGCAAGGAGAGAGCTGCGTATAGAGAGGGTGTTCGGGGTCTGACAATATAGAATTCGCTAGTTTCTTACATGACATTATATGTCTATCCACAATAGTGTTAACCAGTTGGTTTAACGAAATCCCACTTCCCCTACTAACAGCTTTTAGTGCCCTACGCAGCGAAGCAAAGTCTTTCTTAAGTAGTCCAGGAAAGATTAATGGGGAGCAGTAAAGAGGGATGGGTAGAATACAGGAATTGACAAACTGAGAAAGCAAGGAGTGCTTTATACCAGACTGCCTTAATTTCCTAACGTAGAACATTAAGCGAAACATCTTTCTAGTAACTAGCAAGATGTGAGAGGACCAGGAAATATCGGAGGAAATACTCATTCCAAGGTACTTGACATTATATGTAATTTCAACCTCTATACCGTCACTGATAGTGGGACCATGTGAGCTAGCTAGTTGTTGTAGGTCACGTTTTCGTCTGAAAGTGAAATTTACTACCTGACCGTTTGAAGAGGACCACTGACTAATTTCCGAGAGAAAGTTATTTATTTATTCATTGACATCAAACTGTTTACCATACAAAATAAATACCACATACTGTTGTGTCGTATTCCCGCAGTACTCTGCTGCCATCAGTTCATGTTAACCTGGATTGAAGACGAAATGCACAACTCTAACATAAGGTGTCATATCAGCTCATTTATACTCATTTGCACCAAAATAATAAATACTGTTTAGATTGATATCTCGGAGTATTATTCATAGTTTAACTTACTGGTCTAAAGATTCCGTGTACAATGTTGAAACCTACTTTTCCATAACATGATGGATGCCTGCCTCTAAATGTATATGTATTATCACGAATAAATATTAAAATAGAGTAAAAAGTTACTAAAATAGCATTTTCCTCATGTATTTAAAATGATTTATTACCCAACTGATATTGAACATTGAAAAAAATCGTTAATGGTCCGATAATAAATACCAATTGGTAAAATGATAATTAAGATTTATGTGGAAAAGAACAACGCAAAGTGATGTAACGCAGGCGTAGTGATACTGATGCCACGGATATGATTTTCAACATAATCATCACTACTTGTAGACTGTTTGTTTAGCACAGATGTATATGTCCCAGATATGAATATTTCATCAGTTGGTTTCCAAAGTGGTTGCATAATCTCTGATAGCGCAGATGTGTATACTTTAATACATGTGTTGGTGGGTTGGTAATGTATTTTATAGCATTTGATAATAAGTTAACTTATTTTTAAATTCGAATGAGAAACAAAATCGGAAGTGTTTCAATGTTCAGTGGTTTACAT